TAGTCCGTCCCAAAAAGAATGACATCTTTCATTATTTGAAAAAAATTTACCTTTATGCAATAATTTATAGTCACACAAAATATATATGTCTCATTTTACACCACAAGTTCAAAAGTCTTCTCTCTTTTCTTAAACTCCGTGTCCAATCAAATGGGTTCACATAAATTGAAACGGAGGGAGTATATTCTTTTCTTAAAACTTTTGTTTTCTCTGGCTGTTAATGCTAAAAAATATACCAGTTCTAGACAACAAAAAAAATGGACAGATGTATTATAATATTGGAAGACGAATTCAGAGTTGGATACAATTTTTAGTCACTCCCAAAATTAATAACCGATATATATATATATATATATATATATATATATATATATATATATGTGTGTGTGTGTGTGTGTATTATATGCATATAATATATATATTTTATATACTTTTTGACTAACGAATCCAATTTTGTACCGGTGAGAGTTTTTAACAAAATAAGTGTGGGTTCGATTCTCACTATTCCTCCCTTCCTCTCCCCATCCCCTTCCAGCTTCCCCTCCCCCCTATGGAATAGAAACAATTTTTTGCTTGGAAAAAAAGTTGCATTCCAAAATATCAATTGCTATTATTTAGGGTTGTTTATTGAAATATAACAACATTTGTAAAGCAATTAAATAGCCACAACTTTAAAAAAAAATTGGTGGATACTCGCTTTTTCTTTATTTTTGGAGGTTCGTTCTAGTCTGTTCATCTCAAAATTATACCCTATTCGAGACTAAAACAGACAGGGTGACGACCTCATCTTAAGATAAGATATAGACAATAAGACTTTAATTCCAAATAGTCTCGAGCATTAGTTTTCCTTCAGTTGTGTGCCAAATTTGACGCGGCTAACTCTAAAAATCTTATAAATAGGGGTCCTAAAAATGACTGTTTGTGCACTTTGCCCACTCTTTGTCGGGCAAGTTATACATTTGGTCAGCCAGACAAAATAATTACATTCGCTAGTTAAATATATATATAATATATATAATGTATTAATATATAAAAAATATGTATTTTTCCTGCTATTATTTTTAGAAGTGGCTATACTGTGTAGTTTTTCCTCTCCATACAAACAGCCCAAAAACTCAGCCCTTAAACAGGCCCATCTAAGGGGCCCATCAAGCTATTGGACGTAATTATCTCAGGCCCGAAACTGAACATTATCTGATTTTGCTCCCTTCTTCTTCTTCTTCTTAAAAGCTCCACAAGATTTTTTTGGCTCCTTTTTTTTTTAGCTCTGCCAAATGAAATCTTCACTTAAATGATTTAAGGTAATATCCAAACTTTTCCGTAATGCTATTACAAGATTTTCAGATTTTAATATCTTTTGCTATATTTACCTTTTTGTAAAGCCATTTTTGTAGCTATAATTTAATTGGGATATAACTATTTTCAGCTGCTTTTCAGACGTTTGGATAAATTTAGTTCATGGGTTTTTCTGTTCTTGATTGAAATTTCAGTTTAGTATGAAAATGAAAGTTCATTTTGTGTATTAAAATGGAGAATATATGTTGAATATTAGATTTCTGGTTCATAAATTCTAGTGAAATTAAATGACCACTGTGATGAATGCACCGATTATATTCCCTTTTTATAATGTTAAAATATCTGAATGAGATTGTGACCAGTGTTGTCAAAGGCGAAAGGCAAAAAAGCTCTAAAGTTTGTTGGGGCTTTAAGCTCAAAGCTAATATAAAAGCGCGGGCTTTAATGAAGAAAGGTGCAAATAGAGAAAATATACAAATATGTACGTGTAGTACAAGACTAATAATTATAAGCAAGAATAAAAAATACACAGACAGGAGAATTTAATTTTTTTTTAAGATAAAGTGAAATATCAATTGTTTAGTGTGCCTCTTCAGGATTACACTCATTGGCAAGGAAAAGTATGCGTCAGAGAAGACACTGAAGTGCCCCCTAAGCGAGGCAAAGCGCTCAATATGTTTTGTGCCTCGTTTCAGGGCTTAAGCACGCTTTAAGTGATTGTGACTAATATTTTTGCTCAATTTGATGCCTTCTTTTTTTTTCCTTAACACTTGTTTCTTTTGTGTTTGCTGGACAGTTCTCTCTAATTGGTGCTATATATACCACATTTGATTTTATTATCTATACAAGTGTAAGGTGTGAGCCCAACTAGTTCTCTTATTGCAGGAATGGATTGTGGCTGTCTACACTCCCAACTCAGTACCACAGTTTTAGTACATAGCAAAGGGAGAATTCAACCCCCTAAAGTCAGAATTTTGAGATGCAATCCCCAGTATAATCTAAGTTCACTTGATTCTTTGCAGGTTTGCCAATTCTAACTTGCATTAGTTTCCTAGCATAAACTATCTTTTCACATTACATAACAGCCTCGTTTGTTCTAATATTTTTTGGTTGTTATAGTAAAGTCCTTTTATAAAGGACATATATTATAACTTAACATAAAAATTGGTTCCGAAAAAAATTTGGCTTTTATAGTGAATGACTGTTATATAAAGATGTCGTTATAGAGAGGTTTGACTGTATATCTGCTGAGTTGATAGTGAGGATTAATGTAGCTGATCCCAACTAGCTTAGGATTGAGGTGTAGTTCTTGTCATTATTATATTCGATGTAGATAAACTGCTTGTTCTCCTAGTGGCAATGTTTTATTTGGTATGTCCTGTAATTTGATGTCCCGACAAACAGAATGGGTACACTTGTTTTTCTGAAAGACTACTCAGCAGTACATACATTTGTTTTATGATAAGTCTTCTACTTCTAGGCTCCAACCTTCTTTGAAGGGAAGGAGGCATAGAAAAGTCCTCTTAAAATGTAACGTGAGTAGGTGTAGTAAAATAGAATGTTATACCTTTCTTTTGTAGGCAATATGCAATGAGGTTGTAATGCTAATGGAGTTAATTCAGCTGTGCAGCTCCGCTGTGTATATTAGTATTCTTGAGGGTTTACCAAATTGTTATCTTATAACTTCATTCTCCCTACAAAAATGAGGTTATCCTCTATTTTGTCTAGTTCATTCTGATAACCACACTATTTTATCCTATTATATTTTCTTTTGGATCGAAGTACCTTTAGTAGTTGTTTGGGTAGGTGATGATAGCAACTTTGTATCTATTAGTGCGCGCAAAGCCTTGTACTCCCTCCGCTTCATTAAAAAAGAAGTCTTTTACTCCCTGCGTTTCATCTTATATGGTGGCAATCGGTTAGGCATGAAGTTTAAGAAAAAGTCAAAGACTTTTGCGACACACCAAAAGTACCTTTGAACTTGTGGTCCTAAACATGTGATGACATTTCTGTGACTATAAATGTATGTTATTAAGGGTAAAATGAAAATTTTAAAGTTAAAGAATTTTCAAATATAGAAAAGTGTCTTTCTTTTTGGAAAAGATTAAAAAAGGAGTGCCATATAAAATGGAACATGAAGTACTTTTTTTTTATCAAAGGAGCAAAGTAATTATCACACCTTATTCTTTTGGTTCGAGATTGTTCGAGCTAGAAACGGTTTTCTTTCTATTTCAGAACAGCCACTAAATACCTTCTTATGTTCATAATTTTATGGTTTAAAAGTTATGATTTAACAGGGTAAGTGTGGTGACCAAAAGAGTTGGCTACGAATCCATAATGGTGTGTAGTGACAAATGTTGTTGTCAAAGAGCATCCTTCGTAGACATTGTCGATTGGCTTTTATTGGTTTTTCCATCTGTGCTTTAGCTTTCATGTGACTCTACTAGGTGATATTGATACATGGATCTGTCACTTGGATCCTTTCCTTTTCTCTGATAAAACTAGCCTGTTAGTGAGTACCATTGCCTTAGTTATGTCAAACCATGGATCTTTGCTTCGGCAATTATTGGAGAGAAAGGATTTGCTTATGAGTTGAATTTACTCAATCCACATCTTATTTATTTTTGTAATAAAACTCGTGTCTGAACCTCTTGCAGCAAAGTTGCAGTGGGGTGGCAATTCAATTGAAGTTTAGAGGTCCATCAGAGAAGTTACGTCCTGTCCGAGCCGCTGTTATCAGATGCGATCATCCGCAAAATGCAGATTTGCCTCGTTACTATTCAAGGAAGGAGAAGAAGCCCTTTCCAATACCTATTGTGGAGCTACGAAGAGCTGCGAGGGAGAGAATGAAAAATCGACTACCTAAAAGACGTGTGCCTCCACCAAAAATCGGATTGGTCATCAAAAGCCTACTTCCTCTCGCGTACAATGTGTTTAACGCACGGATAACAGTGATTAACAATCTCAAGCGGCTCTTGAAAGTGGTACCTGTTAATGGTTGCAAGTAATTTTCTTCCTGATCCACTTATTAGTATAAGATTAGTGTTTCAAAAGGCACTGAGCCTCAAAGCAACTCCTTCCATTGCCCTAAGCTTTATTTAAAAAAAAGAGGGGGTGGGGGCAACCCAGTGCACAAAGCATCTCGCGTTCACGTAGGGTTCGGGGAAGGGCCGCATCCAAGGGAGTGTGATGTAGGCAGCCTACCCTGACACAAACATCAGTGGCTGATTCCATGGCTCGAACCCGTGAGGCCGTGATCTATAGGTCACACGGAGACAACTTGACCCGTGCCCTAAGCTTTATAAGCAAACTGCAAATTGTTGCACTTGACCCTGCATTTTGTTCCTTTTTGCATAGGCAAATGCTACTTTAGCTCTTAACTTGAGAGTGTCATGATCTTTATTTCTAAAAGATGTTTTTAAGTTTTACTGCATAGTTGTGCCAATTCTGCAGGTGGTGTAACGAAATCCATGTGGGACCTGTTGGGCATCCTTTCAAGTCATGTAGAGGATCACAAGCTTCAAAACGCAAAGGACATCATGAGTGGGGAAAGGCAGTTCTTGAAGACATAATGGTGCCACTTGAATCCTACCATTTATATGATCGCCTAGGGAAACGAATTTCACATGAGGAGAGATTTTCTATCCCTCGAATCCCTGCAGTAGTGGAGCTTTGTATCCAAGCAGGTGTTGATATACCCGAATATCCTACCAAGAGGAGAAGAAAACCAATAATATGGACCGGAAAAAATGAATTCGTTGATGCAGATGAAAGTGAATTACCTGATCCCGAACCAGAATCTCCAAAGCCTCCAATTTTAACCGAGATACCCGATGTAGATGTAGAACCACCGTCGAGTGCAGAAGAAACGGTGTTGCTCGCTGAAGAAACACTCGAAGCGTGGGAAAGAATGAGAGTAGGAGCGAATAGGCTGATGAAGATGTATCCGGTGAGAGTTTGCGGGTACTGTCCGGAGGTGCATGTTGGTCCAAGCGGACACAAAGCACAAAACTGTGGAGCTCATAAGCACCAACAACGAAACGGGCAACACGGTTGGCAGACAGCAGTGCTAGATGACTTAATACCACCAAGATATGTGTGGCACGTTCCCGATGTAACTCAATCGTTGCAACGAGAGCTTCGGAGCTTCTATGGGCAAGCTCCTGCAGTGGTGGAAATATGTGTACAGGCTGGTGCTGAAGTCCCGGAGCAATACAAGCCAACTATGAGGTTTGATGTGGGGATTCCTAGCAGTATCAAAGAAGCAGAAATGGTTGTTTAGAACTGGTAATGGTTTCATTTCTTTGCTCTTCCCAATTGTAAAGAATGACTTGTAAAAGTGTGAAATTGATCGAACTATAACAATTACTTGCTAAGTTCTTGCTGTATAATTCATTGACAGAGCTAGCTGGAGCAATTTTCGCAGCCATTATATAATATATTTTTTCCCCTCATGCCGTGTTCCTTCACAAGGTAGGCATAAGGTTTTCACAAGGTAGGGATAAGGTTTGCGTACACACTACCTTCCCAGACCCCACTTGTGGGATTATACTGGGTTATTGTTATGTCGTGTCAATGATTGGCTTGTAGAGAAAATAATGGATGTGGCATGACTAAATTATAAGGTGAAAATAGCATGGGCTAGCCAATTTTCGGACTGGTAATCAAAAAATAGCAAGCGTTGGTAAAATTATTGAAAAATAGTCATTATTTTATGCGAAGATAAAATCTGGACAAAAGTACTCTAGCTGAAACACGGAAAGTTCCAGCATAATATGCTGGATTTTGGAGCTCCTGCATGTAAACTTCTAGTATATTACGTTAGACTCCAACACATTATGAGATTCCAGCACAATAAAAAATTCGGCTCCAGCATATTATGTTAGATTTTTTCGGATCGATGTTTTTGTTCAAATTTTATTTTTACATGAAAAGTAACTAAATTTTGATGTCTTTTGAAATTGTGGCTATTTTTCAGGCTATTTGTGATTTCCCCCGAATAACATTATGGACTTTTGGAAACTCTTAAATAAATACTCCGAAGGGGAGAGCAAAATGGGCAAAATAAAAACAATTCCGTTGCCGGGACTTGAACCCGGGTCTCTCGGGTGAGAGCCGAGTATCCTAACCAACTAGACTACAACGGATTTGTTACTTTAATGATCCAAAAACATAATAACTTCAAAACTAGCAATTGGATGGTTCAAACAATTTACCTTACAGTAGAACCTTTTATAAGCATATCGTCCGATTTACAATTTACAACCTTTTATCTACACATGGGACAATTTACAATTTACATTACAGTAGAAACATACATCGTGATTTATCTCCAAAAGCAATCCAGGAATTTAAGTTATTATATGGTAACAGAGCATAAAACATGATCTGTCTCGAAAGGCGACTTAGGATTTTAAGTCAGTGAGTGCAGAATGTTACTAAATAGCATTGTCGCATTACCTTAACAAAACAACTGATTGTTAATACAATCATCGATCCAATCTCGAAACCAAACAATCTCTTTAATTCAGAATTTAGATACAAATATTAGAGCCAAACCTAAAGTGTATCTCACAGCTCAAATATCCTCAATGGGTTCCCATCTTCAAACAAATTTGACAAATACATTACATATTGAATTATGTTCCAAAGTTGACAAGTTTACTTCACACAGACATTACGACCATGTCCTTGTGCGATAACCAAACGCCCGTCCACTCTAATCTTCTCTACTTAAATACTAGACCTTTATATGTGGCAAGATTCAAACTCGTGACTTACGTCTAACCTACACATCGCACGATATGCTTTTATCATTGAACCATACCCTAGGAGTGTATTGCAGGTAAAAATAAAGATGTTATTTTTTTTTAAAAAAAAATGGTAGCGCCTAGCCAATTTGTGCGCACCTCCATTAATCCACCAAGAACCTGTTACCCCGACCAAAAAATATACCAAGTAACTCAATCCATCAATCTTGATGCCTTTTTTTTTAAAGTGTGTGTGCTCGAATTTATGAATTAAGGGCACATTATTTGCCTAAACATCTCCAAAATGAGATTATTTAAGTCATCAAGATATCTTGAAGCTTGCAATCAAACTGCTACAACTTAAATTATATAAGTGACAGATGCATATGTTTCAAACTACTACGACTTCACAAGTACCAAATGGCATTTTCTAAAAGGGAAAAACAAAGACAAATTTCTCAGTAAGGAACAATGAATAATCCAAAGAAGATGATCTGAATGCAGATTAAGCAAAATATAGGGCAACAGTTAATTATAATAACAGAAGTAACATTCTTGACTGTGCTGTGATGCTGTCAAAGGCTCAAAGCCAGTTCTTTCCTTTTAAGAGTGCAAATCAAAGCATTCAAGCCATCTCAATATGAGATTTTAACGCGAGTTTTTAATCAAGTGATATCGAAGTACCACGTTAGGATATGATAATGTCTTAACTATAGCAAAGGTTTATGCTGCAGAGACACAACTAGTTCTTGGTACCAATGTCCTTAACGGCATTAATCTGCTCTTCGCCCATTGCAGACATAACAGACAGCACAAGATCCTTTCCTTCCTGAAACCCATCTTTAACCTACGAAACACAACCCGGAAAAACTCAATCACTACGACTGTGTTTGGCATGACAAAATTCATTTTCCAGGAAAATAATGGAAAACGTTTTCGTGATGCAATTGATGAGTGGAAAGTATTTTTAAGAATATTATATATATATTAGCAAATCGGATTGTTTTTGACAAAATATTTGAGTACCAAAAATTTAATAATAATATTGTAAGTGTTAGTAGGAGCAACTGACAAAAGCGGGTTGCTCAGATGGTCGGCACCCCCCACCTACAACCCCAGGGTCGTGGGTTCCAGCCACCAAAGGATAGCTCCAACAAATGGGGATCAAAAGGGAGGGGAACAAAAATAAATAAATAAATGGTTGGAGCAACTAATATGCTGAAAAAAAGAAGCTCATATAGTTGTAAGGAAAATAACTTTCGATGTCATGTTCCCCTTTTGTACTGTATAAAAAGATATATCAAAAGAAGCATTCTTTGCCGTATCGTCTGAAGTTGATACCTGCTTCAGCAGAGCCTCATCAGTGGGAAGCCGGAGATCATCCTTGGTGTTTCCACTTTCAGTAAGAAGGGAGACCTAAGACAATGAAACAAATCAAAATACATTGAGAACACTGAAGAAAGAATCAGCGAACGAAACTCCATCTTTGCAAACAGAACTTCATGGATTAAATCATAAAAATTGGATAAATTGTATCACAGAAACTTGGCAAACACCCAAGTTATTTTCCACTATTGACTTCCCGTCCATTACTCAATTTGGTCTTACTAACACCAAAAGAATATCAGTGACTGATCCCCACTTCACATAAGTAGTAAAAGAAAACTTACAAAACCATCTTCAGAGATGTCAATCAGCTGATAGTCTGTACGATTGACATGTGGCACCTGAGAAGAACATGTACAAAACAGGAAAAAATCAAACTTCCTTTGCTGGTAGACCAAGCAATACAATATTAGAGACAAAAAAGAGGAGAAAGAAACACTTCGTTACATCACAGTTGTGGGAGGAAGGAACGATATCTTCAAGTTTCTTTCCATTGAAAATGTCAATTGCCACAAAGTGACATTTAGCATGTCCGTGCTTGCCAGTTTTTGAAGTGGAGACCTCAACAACCTGCTCAAGATTACCATAATAAAATTCAACAACCTTCTTTGAACAGCCATGCATTCAAAAAGTAGACCAGTAAATGAATATACCAGGTAGCACCAAGACCAAAGAAAATAATGGTAACTCAGTATTTTGGCTGACACAACAGTCACACTGAACTAGAACCTATACTGGCCTTGCCTTTCATCATTTTCAGGAATAGAGGGGGGAATCAAGCGAGATAATGTGTGTTAATCTTTTAAAGTGAACCTATTTATACTACAACACTTGCTGTTTATTTACTTTTACAGCTGAATAGTACTTGAAAATTCAAATCCATGATAAGGTTGCTAGTGAATAATTAAAAATCCGAATAGTCTGCTGTAAATGGACTAGTCAATCTTATAGAATCCCAGGAAGTTCCATTATTGCCTAGGAGCATGAGCACTATTTAGATATTTTTCCGTTTCAGAATGTTGTTTTGAGTAAAGAGTGTTACAAATACATTGCAGAAGATATACAATAAAGAGAAGAGACGGCAATTGATGGAATGTATCCAACAGATAATAAATCTGAGTTAAGATCCACTTCCTCGCTCACTTGGCTATATCCGCCATTTGAAATGACATGGGTTGTCTTGAAGAAAAAAATCTTGGGTAAAGAAAGAAGGTAAATGTGGCACTAAAAAGCCGCTAGTAATACATTTATCACTCTATCAAGGTTCCTAATTCTTAACCTGGTCCTGGTTTGGTTTGAGAAGAAAATATGGTGAAAGAATGAGAAGAAACCATCTCTTTTCTTTCTGTCTCATTTGTCTTGAAACTTACCATGCACTAAATTAAAATGTAAATGACATCCCTTCCTAGTTGTAAAGGGCGAGCTATTTAGAAGTCAACAGTCATATGGCACGAAAAAGTGCTAAATATGGTTTTGATGGTTTGATCGTCACTACCACCAAGCAAAACATTACTCCGCATGACAGACTAATCTCATTACACCCATCCTCACATTTCCTAACGAGATCGGAGGGTTGGGCTAAATAGCTTGAGAAGAGCATATATTAATTAGTTTGCAGGCTACTCCAACAAAAGACAAATCCCCATTTAAACTCAGGAGTAGAAGCACCTGTAAAGAAGTTCAAAGAGATTGAACCTTAAAATTGCATCTCAAAAGGAGCCTTAGGTAATGGCAAATATAGATACTAAATCGAGCTATTCAGTTTAGTTATCAAAACCAATCCAATTCAGCAAACATTTCTCAAACCTCTCCTAGCATCTACTCAATAACCGGATTCTGAATAAGGTTTCAAAGATTTTGACTTTCAGACATTTGATTCATTTCAATCACTCCCTCTGTCCCATTTTGTGTGATACACTTTCATTTTTAGTCTGTCCCAAAAAGATTAACTCCTTTAAATATTTAGAAACACTTTAGCTTTAAACTTCTCATTTACCGTTAATGTAATGCTTTTATAGCCACAAAAATATATGCATAAAACATCTCGATTTCTCGTTTACAGTCCATCACCATCAGATAAATTCGGACGGAGAGAGTAATAGCTAAAGCAAGGAAAAGTACAGCACACCAATCTGACATGTCAAATTACCAATAAAACATACTAGCTGACCAATATATACATACACATTAATCCAATCAATCATCATTCTTTTTTTTAAAAGACAATAAATCTAAACAACTAAACACATCCTTTTTCCTCTATCAGTAAATACATCTAAAAATCAATTAAAAAGAAAGATCCAGAAGAAACTGAAGCCAATCAGATTCAGAAAACAACACACACAGGCATCATAAGGAGATTATCATCAAGATCCGATTTATACGCACACCCAATTCGAGAAAACACATCAAAATTCAAAATATATGAACTAAAAAGATGAATTTAACCCAAAAATAAAAAGAAAAAAAAAGTGAATTTAACCTTGCAGGGGCGGCCTTTGATGACTATATAACCATTTTTGCGGATAGTACCAGCTTGTTGAGGGTAAGTTTTGGAGGCGCCTGCATCTGCCTTCGACTCAAAATGATGCTCTTCGTCCGACATGCCTATGCTTCTCTCTTTCTCTCTCTACAATGAATTCTTTGCTATTTTGGGGGAAGAACAAAGGACTTTACACAAAATTTGAGGACCCAACAAAAATGAGGTGACGCTTGTTTTATTTACGGAAAATTAACCCTCTTGTGCAACATATTTTAGGGTCACACAAATGTAAAATTTAGCCTAAGAAATGTTATGTGATGGATGTAATTTTTACGTCCTTGATTAAAAATAAAAAATTTAGCTAGCGTTTGGGTATAGAATTGGTACAAAAATTTTTGAAATTGTGTTAAAAAATAAATTTTGAAAGTTGAAGTTGTGTTTGGACACGCATTATTTGAAAAAAAAAATTAAAATATTTTCAAAAACTGATCATATTTCATGAACAACAATGTTTTAATTTTTTTCTGAAAAATAATAGCCAAAATCTATTGTCAGACAGGAGCTTAATGTTTATTTGGTGTTAATATCAAATCAATATATGTGTAACATAAAGAGTAGAGTTATGTAATGTTAAAGGGTTTGATTGAATTTAATTCATCAAAAAATTATACTGCACAAATAAAATAAAAATAATTATTTTGTTATATATAAATTATTGAATCGCCTTAATATATGGAAGGATTCTAATGTAATATAAGAAAGAATTCAAAAATTTCTTAAGGTTATAAGTTAAAACCCAAATTGTGATGTTTTAGAAAGGTAAGATGTAAAATTTTGACTTCGACATTGCTTGACGTGTTTGTACGTTGTACTTAAACTTATTGTACAAACATTGGATGGGGTAAGTTGTTATTTTTAACTAGATGTTTTGGATCGAATCTGAAGAATAGAGAAACTTATGATATGAAGCTTCTTTCCCTTTAATAGATATTATGCAATATAAATTCGAATTAATCATATTAATAAAAAAAAATTAGAATTTAATGATTATTTCTATATGGCTTTTGAATCAAATTCGTGTCGAAAGGTACATGTATTTATCGCTTTAGTAATAGACACTATAATGTTTTGTACGGCCCCATTTAATTTTCTATTTTGTACGGCCCCATTTAATTTTCTATCTTTGACTTTGTACATCCGGAAAATTAGAATTGTTTATATTCTATACGGATATGAACTGATTTCACAATAAGTTTTACACTATAACGATGGAAATTAATTATTCATACAAAATGCGAGGCGATTATTCTCGTGAGATATTTTAATTTATCTCATTATTGTACCAAACGATCTCTAATCGGAGAAATCCATTCCTCACACCCCCCCATATCAAAAAATGATGGACATCTTTCACTAACTTTTTTTTGGTCAATTTAAGCAAGAATCTTGAAATTGACAACATTTATTTAACGATTTCTACGAGTATTGGAGAAGGAATGATGCCTCTAGTGAATGGACAGAACTAGTCCACGATGCTAATTTTAGGTATAATTCCTTATGATAAATATTTAGTATTTATTCTCATTATTTACATCAAATCCAAATAATTTAATTTAATATCTAAAATTTATAGTAAAAATAATTAGTGTGTATATGACAAATATATATCTTGTATTTATTAGTTTAATGTGGACATCAAGATCACGAATAAATTTACCATTCCGTATTTCCATCTTCTTGTTGATAGAAATTTATCTTATTTTTTCAAGTTATTTATTTTGAGGGAGGGGGGTCAAAAATGCCCCTCAACTGTATAAAAAAAAATAGAGCAAATTTGCCCTTAGTTTCTATTTAGTCTCAAACATGCCCTTATTATTAGTGAATTAGTTTAAATTTACCCCTCAACTATGAGAAATAGATTTTATTTATCCTTTGTTAGACTTTGGTCCCAAATATGCCTTTATGATGAGTGGACTAATTTAAATGTGCCACTCAAAACTAACTAACTTTCAACTTCGAGGACAAATAGACTATTTTGAAAATTTTATCAGATCGTAAACTCTTTCAGACACTAACTAATTTCACTTAGTGAGATTAGAATGAACTAAATATATAATCATACATTTAGATAGCAGTTGAATCTTAGAGTTATCATAAGTTTCTATTTTTATATCCCGATCTTGTCATTTTCTTGATCTATTTCTTGTTTAAAGTCACCCAACTATATTCTGAAAATAAATTAATTATCCATAAAGATAAGAGCTGTTTTTCTTTATAGCATAGAATAGGAAGATATTCACTCAGTTGTTTATGGCAAGGTTACTTCTTCATGTGCAATAGGACATAATCACTCGATATGTTTGATTATGCATCAAAGCTCTAGGTTCAATATTTCTACGTGTTATGAGTATGTCTAGTAGAATTTTACGGATCAATATGAAGGCGTTTGTACTTATTTTCGAAACGTTAGAGGATGTTCAAGAAACTTCACTTTCTTTCTTTCCTTATTTGTTATATCATAACTCGTAAATAATGTTTTTAGACAGTACTTTTTAGAACTTTTTTGTTGGATGTTTCTCTTACTCAGAGTCATATACAGATAATGCTATTAGATATAGTAAATAGTTATTTCGTGGTCAGTATTTTGCTCATGCTCTATCCTCAAGACAATGTTATGGTTATACACTGTAAGAATGAGATAAACTTATCCTTTGTCTTTGTGACTTTTGTCCTTTATGTTTTAAACTACTAGTTGGCCACATTGCCAATTCGTTCTGAATTCGTTTTGTTCTACTAATTATTAATACCTATGATAAGATTCTAACAAAGGCCTATGGTAGATCTCTATTTCCTAGTTAATTGTGTTCGAGATGTATCGCGGCATTCTCCTGTTCATCAGCTCGAACCTCATTCTTTTATGGTTGATGTTACGGATTAGCCTCACTCTTTAGGTCAGTAACTTTGCTCAACATTTTTTGCGGATTGTCAGCCTGTTCAGCTATCTAAGAGGATTTTCTGGAGATTTGACTTATTTTTTAAACTTTCTATATATCAAACTTAGAAAGAGCGTAGGACTTTCTCTCTAAGTAAAGAAAGCCAGATCTATCTATTGTAGTCATCCACTTATGTAGTAAGTAAAGTACCTTGCACCTATGGACCCTGACACCACGATTATCATATATATATATATATATATATATATATATATACTCCTTACAAAAATATGATAGTGAAATGTCTTTAGTTATGCAAAAGCAAAATCATATTAGCCTCTTAGGACTTAAACTCTTATATAAACTACTCCTGCTATCTCAATTTATGTAATTTTTTTAATTTGTTTAAAGAAGAACGATATCTTTTTATATTTAGAAACAAATTAAATTTTAGTCTTATTTTATTTAATAAGGTGATTTATAGCTATATAAATGTCTAAATTAATTTTAGATTATAAGTTTTAAAAATCTTTTATTTTTTAACATTTCGTATCGAATCAAAATGTATCACATAAATTGGGACGGATAAGTAATGACTTTTGTGTGTTAGACTTAAATTGGAAGTAAGATTTGTACTACAAATGCTAACCAAAGTGACATAATGGGACCATGGATCATGAGGTTGACCCCATCCTCTTTAACGAGATATATATGAGAGTGTCCGAAGTAATTATTTTATCTTTTGGTTTTTCATCCGAAGTTTATTATCGTTAAAATAGTACGGGTTAGTCAGTTTTCGGACTAGTAATTGAAAAATAGTCAGCGATTACAAAATTATTGAAAAATAGTTACTTTTTGCTGCAATACGGAAAGTTCCGGCATAATATACTAGAGATTGGAGCACTTGTGTATGAACTTCCAGCATATTATTCTGGAACTCCAGCACACGAAAAGTTCCAGCATAATATACTGGAGATTGGAGCACCTGTGTATGAACTTCCTGCATATTATGCTGGAACTCCAACACACGAAAAGTTCCAGCATAATATACTGGAGATTGGAGCACCTGTGTATGAACTTCCTGCATATTATGCTGGAACTCCAACACACGAAAAGTTCCAGCATAATATACTTGAGATTGGAGCACTTGTGTATGAACTTCCAGCATATTATGTTAGAACTCTAGCACATTATGAAATTCCTGCATGTTATGCTGGAAGTTTACATGTAAAAAATTCGAACTCCAGTATATTATGCTAGAATATTTTCCGGATTTTGAACAATATTTTTGTTTAGATTTATCTTTACATGAAAAGTGAAAACATTTCAATTATTTTTGAAACTGTGGCTATTTTTCAATTATCACATGTAAATCTGGCTATTTTTTAATTTGACCCTTCATTATCTATATTGGGGTCCGGCTTAATTTGGATTCGCGCAGGAAAGTCTCACATTGGGGGAAGAGGGGAGGGGTAAAGCGCTATATAACAAAGGTGATTTCATATCCAAAACTCAAACCTGAGATCTCTAGTTAATAAGGAATACTTACCGGTTGATGTTTGGCTACAATTATATATTTTTAGTGCATTACTGATAGAATGTATGAGTCCACTAAACTGTATAGAGACCTGGTTCTATACCAGTTCCCACAGAAATAGCTAATGAACCAGCAAGTAAATGACACAGGAGATTTTACGTGGAGAAATCCCTGCTCAAGGGGATAAAAAATAACGACCTACACTTGTAGGATTTCAACTTCACTACTTGAGCAATCTTTAGATTACAACCTATTGTAACCTAGGAATTAAACTCTTAATCCCTCACTAACTTGTAATACACCTATTACAAGCCACTTTGCAATAAACATATTACAAAGACTTCAATTCATGACTAACTCTATTCACGACACATGCTTTAAGGGTTTATGGTTTTTGGAGGTTCCTAGTTAAAGCTTCTAAATAAGCAAAGTATGAATTACAATGAAAAACTAATACAAAGATACAACTCAACTAAGGACAAACAAAAGACTTGCTGTAGGAACTGGTCCGTAGTAGTGTTGTACTTTGTTCTTGATGTACTTGTGACTTCAATGCTTGATTATCAGATCTTGAGTGCGTGAATTATTTCACAAGTGTTCAAGTGATATTTTATTGTAATGCTTCTTGTTAATATCCTTTGGATGATGTAAACACTTGGTTGGTAAAAAGCCCTTCCCAATGGGAAGTGACTGCTGCATTGTTTCTGCACTATAGCATGTACAGTGCAGGCAGTCACTTTCCAACT